AAATGAAGTGAAAATGGTTTGTTTAGTTTTGAGTTCATATTCCAATATCCTCAGTACTGTTCCCGGGGTACTGTTCCAGTACAGTGATATACCATTTGATCACATAATCCTGGTACCATAGGTGCAAAGGTCCTGGTACAATAGGTGCAAGGAATGGTACCATCCCGGGGTACCATTTCATCGCATATTTATTGTACCATACTGTATGGCAGCTCAAATGATACCATACAGTACCATTTTTACGACATACCACATAGAAATATCATTCTATTACCAAGGATCCAAATGAGCTAAATGCATATTGATGACTCACCTTATAAGAGTGTAGAAAGTGTTTGTTAAATAATTAATAAGAAGCTGTGATCTAATAGCTTACAGCATTGTCTAATTAATATAGTTATGCTTCCAATTAATTGGATCAAATTCATGACATTATATGAACAACATTTCATACAGTAACTCAAATCATCAACACTGCGGTAGAGTTGTTCTCCCAATGGTGAGGTATTGAAATTTCCTCAATCTCATTGGTTCAGATCAGGAGAGCCCCAATGCTACACAACAGAAGACGGCCAAGTAAAATTCTGATTCTTCTTTAAGGGTCAAGGTTTAAGGAAAGGGTTGAAATATCTTTGGCCATCTTTAGTTGCGAATCAAAAATCATTATCGCTTCAATCCAGTCATTACTTGAAACATGTTTTTTTTATTTCACATTTTGGAGCTACAATAAAATAAAGAAAGAACACTATGATGTTAAAATGGCAGAATAGCATCTTTAAGATCTTTCATCATAAAGCATACAGTGACAATGGTTTGTATGATTATTATAGACAGCACCATCTATTTTATGTAGCATTATATATCAAAAGATTTTTGCCAAAAATGATTTCATGATCATATTTAATGATTTGATTCATAGCTCATCTTAATTTTTTGTATTGTGCATTATATTGGAGCAATATGTCTAAACTTTACATTCCCCAAATTTTATAACAAATCATAGCTCATGGCATTATAAACCTAATTTCATAGAATTCAGTTTTCTCTGGTGTGTTTGAGAGTTAACCCATGTTCCCTTTAGTCAGATAGGCTGATGAAACAAACTTTTTTGGGGTGGGGTTGTCGAGTTGGCCGAGCGGTCTAGACCCACAGGTCTAGAGCATTGAACATGTTAAGCTAGGAACTGTTGCACTTACCATGAGGTTGTGAGTTCCAGGTGCATGAGCTTCTTGTGTCTATTCATCACAGGCTGGTATCAAAAAATGTGTCCGCTGTGACGGAGCGTGCTATTTTGCATAGAAACACTAGGAAATCCACACAATTTATTTTTTTACTCATATGTTTGGCTATATCAAAGAAAATTACCTACTCCATGTAATGGGTATATCATTTGCGGGTAACTTTAACTTCTGTTTGAAGTCCAACAACGCTAATCGCAAAAGCTATTGAAAACGATATATGCATTGCATGGAGTAAGAAATTTTCTCTGGTATTGCAAAACATATGAGTAAAAAAATAAATTGTGTGAGTTTCTTAGTGTTTCTATGCAAAATAGCAAGCTCCATCACAGCGGACAAATTTTTCGATACCAGCCTGTATTCATTTATATATTAAAGGTGTTCAAATTAAAGATGTGTTCTGTTGTACAGGTTTTATTGGGAGTGTGCATAAGTTACAAATATATTCAAGATTACAATGCATATTCGGAGTTTTCATTGTCTCACAACTTTCTGCCATAGTCTTTGAAGAGACGCGTGAAAGCCCAAGTTCCTACAAACATGTATTTCCTCATTCAAAATTAGTCTGAGCACCAAACTACCATGTTGGATATATGTCTTCTCTGAGAAAACATGCAAGGTTGCAATCAATCATGCCACATTGAATCACTTTAATCAACTGTTTTCAATTCAATCATGTTAAAGTCTAGGAACTCATTCTGGACAATATGCATCATTAAAGAAGAGCCATGATCAAAATAACATCTTTCATAGACACGTTTCATACTCCAGATCACAGAAAATGTTGATATTGCTGACTTGCACTGCTGATGTGAGAATTTCAGTTTCTGGTACTTCTGCTAAGCATACAATGAATTTTATTTTCCGAATTCCAGTTTATATAATTTGTATCAGACCATCTAATCTATTAAAATATGGCAATATTTTGTGAGCGTACATGGTGCCAAATCTGATTTCTCCAAAATGAACTAAAGTGGGAGTCAGGACCAATGGTGTAAACTATCAGCATATACTTCCATAAAATGGACACGAGCAATGATCCTGATAAATGGCAGTTTTCATGAATAAAAAACGGATGATGCTACTGCAAACAGAAGGATGAACAGAAAATGGACTGATGGATAGACGGATAAACTAATGATATACAATCCTATATCCTATAGGCTTGTAGATATAACAAGTGTATAATTTATATTACATATTATTAGCATATGTTGCCATCTATGAATGTACACGTAATCTTTTTTCTTGTAAAGTCTTTTATCTTTATTCTCATGTTAAGAGTATGTGTCAGTTTTTCTGGTGTTTTTCGCACATCAAAACTACACTCCATTTTGCAACTCCACAAGAAGTTTCAGATGACTAGCTCACCTGCATTGTAGATGCACATTTATGAGCATTACAAAATGTTTCGTCTATTCCTTTGCTGGCAAAACTGGATCTTACACAAAAAGTGACACCAACCTTTTGTTTCAGTCATATGTTTTGCTTACTGTATTTGCATCAGATAACCCTAACTCTTATTCAAATAAAGAACAATCTTAAAATTAAATTTTGCATTTTCGTATACCACTTACCTTTTGGTACGACTATAGAGGGACTATAGAGGGAAATTGGATTGCAGTACAAACTGAGAAAAAGCTTAAAGAGTGGTCATATACTAGTATACATCTCAAAATTTGAATTGTGTACTTTTATTACATTTCATTTTTCAGAATACTTTACGAAAGAGATTTGACAGGTTCGCTCCTCCACAGTGTAGTTGTAAAAGATATATTATTATAAATCTTGAATTCATAACGTACTCAGATTTGAAACTGCTCCGTCACAGCGGACAAAAAATTTAAACTTTATTTTATCAATATCTCATTAATACCTTCAGAGTTATGCTGAAAACATATGTAAATATTATCATTGTGTCACTATAATGTACATTTTAATAGAAATAAAACAAATGGTATATTTTGGAGTATGATACTCTGGCGCCGATTTCAATAGCTTTTACTTCAACTGTGTTAACAGAAGTTAAGGTTACCCGCAAATGATATATCCATTGCATGGAGTAGGTAATTTTCTTTGATATAGCGAAACATGAGTAGAAAATAAATTGCGTGGATTTCCTCATGTTTCTATGCAAAATAACACGCTCTGTCACAACGGACAAATTTTTCGATACCAGCCTGTGATGTTAGGACAATGATGTATGTCTAACAAGAATCCAGTCCAATTCATGTGTGTGTAAATATTGCTGTGTACATCAAAAATGAATTAAATAAATATCACATTTTCTCTTCATAATTATTTATTAACTGGTTTTGCATATTTTCATTGAATTTATCATTTTGGGAGATTTTTGAAGCTATGTTTACATGTTTAAGCATTTCTTTAAACCCACTGAATTCTTTGCCATCTTTGGCCATTGTCATTTAAATATATACACATCCTAGATAGATATTATGAGGTTATATAACGGTTGATTCTGTATATCGTGTTTATACTCAAGTGAGTATATGATATATTCACGAGTGACTGAAGGGAACGAGTGAATAAAACATAAATGGATGTCATCTGATGGAGAAATAATTGAAGTATCCTCACTCAAACATCTTGGAAACATATATGATTCAAATCTCAGTCTGAACAAGGCCATAGACAAAGCTGCTTCATCCTTGAAAACAACTTTCGCTTCGCTCGTTGGAGTTGGCGTTCACCCGAAAGGTCTAAATCCTCTAACTGGCTTGAAGCTCATTAACACTATTTGCATCCCTTCCGCCTTACATGGTTGCGAACTGTGGAATGAATTAACAACCTCCCAGTGCCTAATATTACAACGGGCCTACCGATTTATCCTCAAGCGCTTGCAAGGCCTATACAGATGCACGAAGACTGATATTGTGCTTGGACTTTTAAACTGTAAAGACATTCTTCAAATTATTGAATTAAAAAAATTATCTTTACTTGGGCGAATCTGCAACATGGGCAACACTGTTACAAAGAACATTTTCTTATTTCGTGCACATCTATGCAGAACAGAAAATGCTTCCCATAAACAAAAAGGTTTTATACCAGACATCCAAAACATACTTCAGAAGTACAGTCTAAATGAATACTTAGAAAGATTTTTAGATGACGGGTACTTTCCCCCAACAAAACTATGGAAATTGATTTGTAAAAATAACGTTCAAATACAAGTTGAAGCTAGCATCAGCACTCTAAGGTTGACCAAAGTCGAATTATCTAACAATATCACATGGACTACTGGTCAAAAACATCCGCATCTATTAGAATACTGTTACACACTAGCGAAACTAGTAGCACTTCCTGAAGACAAAGAAACCAATCATTTATGTGAAAAATGCGGAAATTTATTTAAAGATACAGTAAATCATTTACTCTTTCAATGCTGCTGTGATGCTGTCTGCAAAGGTATGACCATGCACGACTTAGTATGTGACCCCCGCGACGCTGATGAAGACACAAGCGACAAAATAGCAGCATTAAGTAAAATTTTGCCACAAATACACAAATTGATTTTTGTAAACGGAATCTCATTGGTTCCAGCGTTTCCAGATTAAAGCGATAATAATGTAAGGTGTTAGAGCTTTCTGCTCAACATAAATGTATAAATGATGTAAATAACTACCATTTTTAAAAACAAAACAAAAACAACCTTCGTTTGAAAGTTTTTATACACTTTATTAACCTGTAATTACGTTGTAAAATGATCCATGAATAATGGGAAATAAAGATATAATAATAATAATACGCTACCCAGGAGTTGTATACGCTATCCAGGAGTTGTATATCATTCTCAAGAGTTGTATACGATGAGTGTTGGTTTTATACCGAAGTTATACAATGCTAGTATACAATCATATAAAGCACTTAGGGTGGGATTATATATGGATCTCCTTGTTTAAATACATGATATATAAATGGATATCCTTATTTAGACTTTAGAGTTATCCAATTTTGACCTTTTTCAGAAATAATCAATTTGTACAACACAAGTTCTCATAAACATCTGACATCATTCATATTATTTCCATGGAAATCTTTGTCCAATCAATTCAAAAAATTGTTCATTTGACATTTTGTAAAATTCTGAAAGTTTGCTTAATGTTTCCTTGTCATTGCTTTTTAACTTTCCTTTTCCTTTGGGCATGCATACCTCCAGACCCCATTTCAGCATGCAAAAATATCCCTTGATGTCATCATAATAAACCATACTGTTATTAATAACATTTTCAATATGAAGGAAATCTTCTACTCTTTTTAGTTCAGAAACTGGATCAACCTTAAATTTATCCCCATCAATAACATGAACTTGGCTTAGGTTATAACCAGCATTGAGGAATTTTTTTAGATGTTCTGCATACAATCCATAGCGTACCTCAAAGTGATATGGCTGCACTTGGTTGGTGTGTTTATTTAATATGAACTGGGCCAATGTGACATTTATCCGTTGGTTAAGTTTCATATCTGTATATCGTGAGAATAGTCGCTGTATAGGATCACAAACAATTAATAAAAGTTTCAAGTTTGGGTTAAATTTGTACATAGTTTCTGGAACCTCTTTACTTGAAAAATAATATGGACATGATTCAAGAACTATATCTTCCGCTGAACTGTAAGGCATTTGTTCCAAGTACCATTCATCTCCATTCTGTTGGAAGTTTTTCTTAAAGTAACAGACAGTTGGTTGTTCAGTGATTTGTATATGGTGATTCAATCCGAGAAACTGACGCAATGTTAATGTTCCACAATTTGTAGCCCCAATAATCACGACATTTGACAAATGTGGTGTTTTATCCGAGGGTGGGTCAGGCATTATAAATATCCTTTCAGAGGAATCCACCTCTCCTAGGTCCTCCTGTTCATGAAGTGAGTTATTTTTTAAGAGTTTTATGTCTCTTTTGTATGCGAGATGCTCATCTTCGAAATCTTCAAATCTTGGCATATCACAGGCTTTTGCTTCTTCTCGCATCATGAATAAGTCAAACAGCGTCAATCCAAATACTACAGCCATTAAGATATACAAACGTACCTTACCTGCCATTTTGTATGGCATTATCTGGTACTTTTTCATTAGAAAACCTTTGAACTGATATTGCAATTATGATATTGGAATTTGGTGTTTAAATTCCTTTACAGTTTGTAAATGCAATGTACTAGTTTTCACAATGGGCTAAATTACAATGAGATTAATCAATAGATATAAATGAACTGAAATGTCAAAAGGACTAGTGTATCAGTAGTATCAGCACCAGCTGAGTAGCTAGAAAGCCTTTACTAATGGAAAACAATTTCAATTCCTGTTCATGATTGTTTAGCTTATAAACCGAAAAAAATATGCTTTAGATGATCAAAAAGCATTTAAGGTATTTTGATTATTAAATTCAATTTAAGGGATTATGATATGGCATGGGAAAATGCTTCATACTATTCCTTAAAATGTATTGTTATGGTAATAGAATGAATGACATTTACAATGGTTTTATGGTCTTGGATTGTGTGAAATTCTCCTAAATGGTGGGTGAGGTGGATATAAGACAATGTTTCTTTATACGTTAGATCATGTTTGGGATATTTGGTATATCAGAGAAGGAAATTCATTTTAAATCAACGATAAAATATGTCAACGGACAAAAACATTCCTGAAACATGCAGTATAACAAACTCAAAACATCTAACAATTCATACAGCTCAGCAGTAAAGTTCATTAACATTTGAATTAGAAATAAATTGACATTTTTAAAATCTGATATACACAATAAGGTTAGTACAGAGAGGCCTACACAGGTCAAATCAGATATATTAATTACAAATTTGATTGACTTTATGCTTGATTTGTAGTTCTAATATATTTTCTGCAATGTTAACTCTTTGCTCTTTCATATTTTCTGTAACATGTTTATCTACTCCTTTTTCATTTCTAGTTTACTATAGTGCGGTCATTTTTGTAAACATGTATAATGATATCATTTCGATTGATATACAATGTTACTGTATCTACTTTTAAAAAGTTATACAATTAACAAACATGAAATAAATGTAAAATATTTTATTTGTAATTTGATAATCATATAACCTTAAACTACACATCTACCATGTTCATACTATCTAGTACATGTCATGTATGTTTATGGTTTATATAGAAAATCGTATTGTTATTTTTTTGTTAAGTTTCTCTCAATTGAACTTTTGCGATCAGAATTCAGGTATTTTGTTTATGGATACTGTTGTCATGTATTTTTTCTTAATGGTGTGACGTCATATAAAAATGATATAAGATATGATGGAGAGAGGAAATGGTGGACACGTGGCAGTTTTGCGCAAAAATTAAAGATTGCGAGCAATCTTACAGAGGCCCCGTAGGCTTTTTTGAACATTTAAAGGTCAGCCAAAGGTCAAATCTTAAATATAAGGTCATATATGAACTCCAGGCATCTTGTAGATGATTTAAAAAAAAAGTTTGGTCAATTTGAAGCAATGTGAAATTTGACCTTGAAAAATTTCAACATTAGACCTTTTTAGTTTTTGAGGTCCAATATCTCAGAACTGGTGCAGCATTTTAATAGATAATCAATTGTTAATATGTGTAAAACCTTTAGAGGAATATATATCCTGACTTTAATTCAAAAATATTGATTTGTAGTCACAAACTTTGGGAAACTTAGAAAACACAGTTTGTGATCTTGTTTGATGATCTTGACCTTTGACCTTGAAAATTTTACTTTTTTAGACCTCAGTATATCTTTTGTGATTGAAAAAATCTAAATTTTAATCCTTTCGAAGGTCACTGAAGGTCAACTCAAGGTCATAGGTCAAAACTAAGGTCAGATTTGAGTTCCTGAGATCTTGTAGATGCTTTTTAAAAAAAAGTTTGGTCAATTTAGAGCAAGTTGAAATTTGACCTTGAAAAATTTCGAAATTTGACATTTTTTCAGTTTTTGAGTTCTAATATCTCAAAACTGGAGTAAAATTTTGATAAATAGTCAATTGCTAATATGTGTAGAACCTTTAAGGGAATATATATTCTGGCTTTCACTAAAAAAAATTGATTTGTAGTCTCCAATTTTGAGAAACTTAGAAAACACAGTTTGTGATTTCGTTTGATGACTTTGACCTTGCAAATTTTACTTTTTTAGACCTCAGACGGTCTTTTGTGAATGTACATACCTAAATTTGAATCCAGAAAATTGATTTGAAAAATCAACTTTTTTGACCTTTCGGAGGTCACTGAAGGTCAACTAAAGGTCAAAGGTCAAAAGTAAGGTCAGATTTGGAATCCTGCGAACTTGTAGATGAGTTTTAAAAAAAGATTTGGTCAATTTGTAGCAAGTTGAAAAAAGATGTTTTTTGACCTTTTTTTGACCTTCAATATCTCAAGATCTAGGCAAAATTTCTCTAGACGGCAAAAGGCTAAGACTAATAGAATACTAATATCTATCTGTATGCAAAAATTCAGCCAAAAATATTGAAGTGTAGTGTCAGGATTTGAGAAACTTGAAAAAAACTTAGATTTGACCTAAATTTTGACCTTTGACCTTGACCTAGATAAAAATTCCTTTCCCCGTAAGTTCAACCTAAGTCCCTAGTAGGTTCATATAGTAGATAGTTGAAATCTATTTAGAAGTAGGAGAAAAAGTGCAGAGAAGAATAAATAACTAGACTTTGGAAATTGAACAAGTTCAATTTCAGACTCCAGATTCAACTAGACTTTGGAAATTGAACAAGTTCAATTTCAGACTCCAGATTCAGACTTTTTTAAGCCGAGTCATCCAGAATAAGCTGAGTCATCCAGAAAAAGATGGATGGATGGATGGATGGATGGATGAAATAGGAAGGAGGGATAGGATAGGATAGAATAGGAAAGAAAGATAGGATAGAATAGCAAGGAAGGATAGGAAGGAAAGGATAGGAAGGATAGGATAAGATGGGAAGGATAGGATATGATAAGATGGGATAAGATGGGAAGGATAGGATAGAATAGGAAGGGACGATAGGATAGAATAGGATAGAATAGGACAGAAGGATAGGATAAAATAAGAAGGAAGGGTAGGATAGGAAGGAAAATATATGAAGAAAGGATAGATAGGAAGGAAGGATAGATAGATAGGAAGGATAGGAAGGATGGATGGATTTTTCAACATTTTCTTCGCTACTCTTGACTTTTTATCAGGATACCATCAGATCGTTTTTTCTCGAAATTTCAAAACGCTATAACTTTTGAACCGGAAGTCGGATCGAAATTTGATTTGCAGATTCGGATTTCTGAGAAAATTCTACCCTTAATTCATAACTCATTTGTTAAATTTGGAGAACTTTTTATTTTGACTTACTTTTAGGACGCCATATTTCAAAATCGGTAAGAGTAATCAAAAAACGGATGGCACATTATGAAAGGGCTGTTTCTAAGCTACATGATGAAATAAAGATGAAGACGTTTCGATTAAGAACGACGAAGATAATAGACAGAAGGTTGAAAATGTAAGATTTGACCCAGTTCTAGGATAGGATATAGAATAGGAAGGAAGGATAGGATAGGAAGGAAAGGATAGGATAGGATAGGAAGGAAGGATAGATAGGAAGGATATGATCAGACAGGAAAGGAAGGAAGGATGGATGATTTTTTCTATATTTTCTTCACTACTCTTGACTTTCTATCAGGATATCATCAGATCGATTTTTCTCGAAATTTCAAAACGCCATAACTTTCGAACCGGTAGTCATATTCAAATTTGGTTTGCAGATTCGGATTCCTGACAACATTCTACCCCTAATTTATAACTCATAGGTTAAATTTGGAGAACTTGTTATTTTGACCTACTTTCTGGACGCCATATTTCAAAATCAGTAAGAGTATTCAAAAAACGAATGGCACACTTATGAAAGGGCTGTTTGTAAGCTACATAATGAGAAAGATGAAGACGTTTTGATAAATAACGACGAAGATAATAGACAGAAGGTTGAAAATGTAAGATTTGACCTAGTTCTTGACCTTTGACTTAGATAAAAAAATTGACCCAATTTCCGAGAAACTAGATACTGGACCTGAATTGACCATATACAGGTCTTGACTCAATATTTTCTAGTTAACGAGAAAACGTGGAAAGAATAATAAGAATACTGGCAAAAACAATAGACTCCAGATTAACATCTGGAGTCTAATAATAATAATAAAGAATAATAAATAATATCTATAAAATCTATAGGAGGCCCCCTGTTGGGGCCTCCTAAATATTATCGTTCCTCTAATGAAAACCATGGGTAGGATATTTACCAGGTATGCCGATTTGACTAGATCATGGGTGTATCTTTATATGTGTGAAGTTTCGGTGAAACTCATACTGAACATCGATGCCAATAAGTGCTCCCCGTCTTTTCAAAATGGGGGGGGGCGCTTAAACGCTATCTGAATCATGTCAGTAAGATCTTAGACTTGGTATGTGGTTAGCATGAATGTTGATCTAGTCAAATCGAACGCTTTCGTGAAACAAAATTTAATAAAGTACGAAATACAGAAGATAATCTCTCAAAATCAAAAAGTTACAGCAGTGTGGCCTAATTGTGACGTCACTACAAGATAGAATCCATCCGGTGATCGCAAATCATCAATTGAAACTGGTAACTTCTTACTAGCATCGGGGTTATTATACTTCCCTATGCAGCAAAACATATTGTACCATTATACCTCGATATATGATATATATTACATCTCTCTACTTCGACGTACATGTATATCATTAGAAAGCATAACAGGGGATATTTGACAATAAAAATTATCAAACTGAATAAACTAAAAACGACATAAATCAATAGAGCTAATTACAGTCGATTTATAACACAATGTTTTAGAGTTTTGTATCTTTCTCCAGGTGTGGATACAGTGGAGTTGCTTCCCCATAGGCAGCATAGGCAGGTCCAGGTTGTTCCTCAGGCAGTCTTTGTATACTAACAGATTGTGGTCCTGATGGATGTCCTCCAATATTCTCAGGAGGGGCATGTTCTGCCTTTTGTTGTTCCAGCAATGCTTCAATTACACTAGCAGCTACTCCCTTATCAGCATTCTGATCGATCAATCCAAGTAGGAAAGCGCCATCTTTCATAAGAAATGCATTGTTTGTACCATCAGGCTGTGATGCCATTAGGCCTCTGGAGACAATTGATGTCATGTGACCTCTACAAGCTGCAATCATCCACGAAAGAAAGCTGTATATGTTGATTAGGATCAATACACAGAGCCAAATCCAAACAGCACAGAACATATCCCGGTTCATTTCATTCAAAGGCAGGAAACATTGTGATGTAAAACGGTATATTGCTAATGAAGCCTGACGAACCTTAAAATCACAAAGGATTACATCTGGAAATGTCTGAGATCCAGATGTCCAATGCTGCCATGTTGATAATTCAACCAGAACCTTTGCAGCATAGCTACCTTCGATTTTTATCATTGTCCCATTCATATTGATGTGGTCAGCAAGGTAAGAATTACCCTGCGTGCAGAGTCTAGTTAAACTACACTCTGCCTAGTAGAGACCATATTACAGTTTAGTAGCCCCGCCCCCACGACGAGTACCGGTGACAGTTTGGGTAAATCACTTTTGACCAACGCGCTGACATTCCACCAATCAGCGAGCTTGAAGAAACATACGCCAAATGCGTTCTAATTATATATGCGCTTGTCATTGGTCAATTCCGGGCTCAACGATGACGTCAGAAGGAATGACCATATAAAGAACGTCGGTCAAATTTGGCCGACGAACACTGATTGGCGCGGTGAGTTCACAGGTTTATTGTAGTTTGAAAGAGTGAAGACGAAGCTCTCTTTTAAGAAGTGAAGTCAAACGAATGCAAAGGGTAGGTAAGAATCGACTCTACGAAGCTGAACAATCACATTGATAACATAGATCAGTTTTACAACTGCAAAGACAATCGCCAGATACGTACCATAGAAGGTTGTACAGTAAGCACAGAGTTTTACAACAGGGTTGGATTTTGCTTTCTTCATATACTCTCCAAACTTATCAACGAAAGATTGAATGTTCTGGTTTGAACCATCTTTGATCACTGCATCAACATCAAGTCCAGATTTTCCAGTAACAGCCCACCAGAGAATTATGTGAGCGAAGAAACAGACTGCCATATATACAAAATACAATGGAACATGTCGATGTTTGGCTTCTATTGCATCTTGCCGGAAATCCTCTCTAGGGATAACATGGACAGGTGGGAGGTAATATGTATCACTCTGCCAGCACAATGCATTTTTGTAATCAACATGAGCATCAGAGGACTTGGCATCAGATCAGCATTGTATCTTCTCCCCAAAGTTGATGACAATTGTGATATAGAGAGCTGTTCCAATAAGGAATACTGGAGTATAGAGATAATTGATCCTCAGAAAGATGTCATCACAGGTCTTCATGCCTCTACCAATTTGACTCAAACCCTTTATATACTCCATATTTCTTTAATCTGCAAAAGATGGTGCAATAGAGCAAATTTAAAAGCCATGTTTTGATGTTCTCCCCTCCCCCTATCCTGAGTTCCTGACTATGCCCCTGATTAAATAACTCGCAAGAAAGAATTCTTATGAGAGGTTCTGCTCCTGAATTGCATTGTATTCCATTAATTGTTACCATTAAGCATAGAGATTTATTCCAATAAAGAGTTGATTTTGAATAATGATGCCAAACAAAATACTTCAAACAAAATATGATCAAAAACAGAGAATAAAGAATCACCAAAATAATGATAATAAAACATTTCAGCACATTTGATTTCAGACATTCATATAACCATTCTGGGCAGGAATATTATAAAGATTACGATAAACATTTTTGTACTTACAGAGTCAGTCTAGCCCCTTGATTGCAGTCAATCGTTAACTGGATCTAGTGAAACTCTGATGTCTAATCATATATTGATCTCTGTGTTAAACTTGCAAGTTGTACATTGAACCCTCCTTTTATTATGGAAATTGGTTAAGATCCAATAAGGTCATACTGTATTAAGCTCAAATAAGAACAATGTCATTTTTTATGAGTTAAGGTAGAACTTCAATTTCTGTCATCAACTTCAGTCATCAAATGGTGTAAGATATCTATATGTAACATGAACCCAAATAACATGAATATGACAGTTATCATGTATGGAAAATTTAAATTTCAAATTTTCCAATCATTATTCATATTTTAAGGGTGGCAATGAGTGACATCAAGTACACTCAAAGTACATACAAGTTATATAAACATTTACTCATACATATAAGTTGTTTTAAAAGTAAAACAATACAATTTCTACAAATATGACATTGATCGAATGGGTAAACCACCGAATGCATACTTTTCACATAAGGCCAAGCACTATTCTATGTTTTTTTATGAATGTTGAAATGAGATCAAAGTGTTCCTTATTACAACTCTTATATTCAACGTAAATAACTACCACTTAGTTTATCTTTGTGTCACCTCCAAGAAGTGATTACATATTGTTAAAACTACCATTTTATGACCAGAGTTCAGTGTAAGTGGTTGACAGGATGCTCACCATCCGAATAATTGCTATACTGCACTCATAAAATTTGTAATAATTTATCAGACAGCATTTTTGTCATGTTAACCTTGCCCTCTTTTATGTTTTTACTGATTTACTTGAGTTACATTTGAGACATAAAAAAACTTTATGGCACTAGTACTGGTGCTTACATACTTGCTTTAAAGAGACATATACTGATTCGCACGTGTTATACACAAAAAGAAAAAAACTTGTTTGGCGGTAACATTAATTTCATATTTCTTTAGTATATTTCAATGTCATGGTTGCAGTTAGATCTGAGTCAAGCAAGACAAATCACTGGCGGATTAGGGGGGGGGGGCCTGGGGGCCCGGGCCCCCCCCCCTTGGGTGGGCCCAGAAAAAAAAATTGGGCCCAAAATAAATTTTGGGCCAAAAAAGGCCTTAAGGCCCCCAAAAAGTCGGCCTTTTAGGTCATTACTGGGCCTTTTAAGGCCTTATTTTTTAAATTCAGGCCAAATTTTGAAGAAAATGGGCCTCAAAATTTCAAAATTTGGGCCCACTTTTGCGTTTTAGGGGCCCAAAATTTTTTTCCGCGCAAGCGCCTACGGTTTTTTCTCTGACCTGAAATTTGGGCCCCCCCCTTGATGGTTCCCAGATCCGCCCCTGCAAATGCACCACCATAATTTTACTGAAAAATGTTTTTAAAGGCCCTGTGGTAATTTGAAAATAAAGAATTTTGATCATAAAATACTAAAATAAAATTCATAAAACACTATGAAACACATTATTTTCTCTCCTCTATTGAATAGATCAGACAAAAGGCGTACTGTAGATACACTTATTTTGATGCTATTTAATTTGACGGATTTGCTCAATTCTGAATATTGGCGGCTATTTAATTTGCCGGATTCAGGACTGAAGTTTAATTTTTGTCAATGTTCATGTCATTAGGACAGCTATTTACTAAGATATTTTCTGTTTTTCTTTTGGAATAATGTAGAATTGATGACATGTTGTCAGGAAAAGGGGCCCCAGGAGTTTAATTTCTGAAGAGCATTAGACAAAAATTCCAAACTAAAATTCAGATTTTTAATTTGGCAGACTTTCTGAATCCGCCAATCCATCAAATTAAAACAGGAGCCAAATTAAGTGTATCTTCAGTATTATTATATATTGTTACAGTAATTGTCATTTTTTATCTTCTAAAAATTAAGCAATATGGTTGGCATGCCTAGGTTGAAAATAGGTTTTCATGATCTCTTTAATATTTATGTTCCATTGAATTCAATGAGAACTTAAATGTCAAAATGCTTTTTTCTCTGAACCACATTTCTGCACTTATATAATGGAGTTAATTTCTGGCTTGTTTTTGAAGCAATTTTCTGATCTTTCAACTCAAAATAATTCACAAGTTTTAAACAAAAAGCCCTTCAAAATAAACTTTTTGAAATGGAATTGAAAAGTTTCACATCACATTTTGATAAAATTGGTTATATTAGGACTATAATATGATTTAAACTTTATATGGGGGCTTTAACACCAAAACTGTGAAAATGATTACATTTTATACCACAATGTTCTCTTGGGCTTAGTTTTGCCTCACCTATTTAAAGTTGCCTCACCTATTTCAGGATACCATCTATACCATTCACAGTGAATTTAATTAATACATACAAGTTTTATTCTCACTGATGAAGGCATTGGTAAGTCATAATCTAGCATGCGCCACTTTAAATAGAAAGCAATATAAGAATAAATAAAAAATACTAGACAGAACAGGGCCATTAACCATGACCTTTTTCAAAAAGAAATACTTTATGATACATGCATGGACATATCCAGGCATTACACAGATCAACACAGTTAAAGTCTAAAAACCAACTACCTCATAGAGAGCTAAAATGCTTTGGAACAAACTATGCTTCGTGACAGTTGTCTTATTTGCATACTGCAATGGAGCCAACATATTGTTGGCCCCACTTGATTCTGGATTTTCAAGTCGGATCACAAACATAATTAAGCTAGGAGACTTGCTCCTTGGAAAGGGGCATAGCATCAGCTTCTTGTGTTCTGATGACCTTTTACAAAGTCCCATCTTTAATTTATCAAGAACGAGCAAAATCACAAAAGTAGTTCAGCAATTCAATGTGATTATATATAAAATACCACCAGTAGACAAGAACCAAGTGGACTTTACATCAAACCAAGAAATGTTAAACGCTGTGACTGGAATGCCGTATTCTGAGATACTTAAGATGTCTGGCATCAACTATATGCCAGAAGAATTTCGTGTAACCCTAGAAGACTCGAACACATGGAACCAATTGAATCAACAAAAATTTGATGTTATTATTGCAGATGAATACAAAGCTGCCGCAAGAGTTCTTGGTGCACATTTCAATGTACCTGTTATTGCATATATTAACTGGGGTCCAGTTTCTATGGTAGGGGGTCTGTTGTACCCGATTAACCCATCGTACATGCCATTAGATTTCAGTCCCAGGGCAACCAGTGATAAAATGGATATCTACCAGAGATTTGACAATTTGTGGGAATACTTAAAGTATAGTTACTACAACAATATTATACTCGAGAAAATGAAGAAAATTTGTTTGAGTAATGAGTATATTAAACCAGAGGCTTGTGATAATATTTTGGATTTTTACAAAACAGTATCTCTTGTTCTGATGAACCGTAATGATGTCCTTAACTACCCTGCACCATTTATGCCACATATGGTCTCCGTTGAGGGATTCTTTCTAGATAAACCAAAACCTCTGACTGGTATCTATAAAGAGAGTGTGGAAAAGTCCAAAGAGCATGGTGTTATTGTTGTTAGTTTTGGATCGTTGTTCCGTAAACTGCCAAGTGAAACTGCAGAAATATTTGCAAAAGCATTTGCAAGAATGGATCAGACTGTTATCTGGAGTTATGAAGGCCCTACACCAGAAGGACTTGGTAGCAATACTGTTATTCGCAATTGGATTCCTCAAAATGACATTTTGGCTCATCCATATGTGAAGCTATTTGTTCACCAATGTGGTATGTCAGGTACATTCGAAACGTTGAACTATGCAATCCCAAACATAGGCATACCCTTTTGGGTTGACCAATTTTACAACTGTGAAAAACTGGCGAATCGTGTTGGATCAGGAAAATATCTGAATCTTAAAGGACTCACAAGTGCAGAGCTCAGAACAGCTATGGATGAAGTGATCAGTAATGCAACTTATAAAAAGAATGCTCAGAAGGCAGCTGATATTTATCACAATCAGCCCATAGATCCAAAGAAAAAGCTGTGTATTGGATAGAATATGTGATACGTCATAAAGGTGCACCACACCTAAGATCTAAAGGCTTTCAGGAACTCAACTTTTTCCAGTACTTTCTCTTGGATATTATTGGACTCTTTGTCCTTATTGGATGTTTTGTTCTTGGTATTTTCATTTTCACAATCAAGCTAATCGTTACAAAATTGATGTTTGGCTCAACTAAAGAGAAATCTGATTGAAAAGTACAATAAACAGTTAAACCTGGAAAGTGGAACACCTCTGTAAGTGGAACACCTCTGTAAATGAAACACTTTCCAGTCTCAAGACCAACTGACTTAATGTGAAACCTCTATAAGTGGAACACCTCTGTAAGTGGAACACCTCTGTAAATGAAACACTTTCCAGTCTCAAGACCAACTGACTTAATGTGAAACCTCTGTAAGTGGAACACCTCTGTAAGTGGAACACTTTCCAATCTCAAGACCAACTGACTTAATGTGAAACCTCTATAAGTGGAACACCTTTTACCAAATGTATTCTACTTAGGCAGGTTTTGCTTTACTGAGAAAATATTTCCAATCAACTACAAAACAAGTTTTATACTTTTATATCTACTATCATCATTCTACGTGTTGTTTTTAAATTAAAGCTTTAAACTAGTACTAGGGCATATTATATGTTAACAGGTATACCAACTGTATATATTTTCTTATCCAACAGTTATTGTTTTCTGTACTATATACAGGGTGACCCAAAAAAATGCAACCCTCCATTTCTTCAATATTTTTGTTCAATGGAGGTTAATTGCTCTGAAATTTTGCACACAAGGACTTCATTCAATGTGGGATCCTCTGGCAAAGTTTCAATAATCATAGCCTTATATTGATAGAGTTATGGTCGTTCCAAAATATGCTCCAAATGTCGTCCATTTCCAATGTTAGGTTTTCGGATGAATCACATTCCCTTCTTTCTGAACATGTAAACTCAAGAAATAATGTGTTCTGGGATCACAAATTCCAGATGAAGTGGTTCAAAGTTCCCTTCATTCTGTTAAATGCACAGCTTTGGCTGCCGATTTCCAAACATGAAATCATCAGCCCCTTTTGGTTTGAGGTTGATAATGGCAACACTGTTACTGTTAACACACTGTTAATTTCTTAACGTGGCTTATAACCCTGTTTATTTTTTCGTGAAGTCACTCAGTAAAATTACGATTTCTCTGCACCCTGATGTCCAATCAAAATCATTTGATTATCTTTCCAAATGCCTTCAGCTATCGGCTACTGGATTAACCTCTAGAGAATAACCCTTCTACAAGTTTCTCAACAACATTATCTACAACAATTCAAATCTAATTTGCCTAAAACTATGTATAACACTTGCTTTCTGACAGCCATTTTAGAAGTATTCAATAAATCTTATCATTATATTCTAGGAAAATCACTCATTGAAAGGTTTAGGCAGTGAGATCAAATTAATGTCAACATTTTGGTAGGAAACAGTCACCCAAAGAGGCAACTAGCAGACATGGGGGTGGGGAAGCAGGGGTCTATTTTGTGAGCCGAGGCCACATTTTAATTTTCAAAAATGAGTAACAAAAATTAAGTAACAAGGCAACAATGACATGCAAAATATCACCACATGCCATTTTTTACAGATATCAAACGCCAAACACCAAAATACCATCCCCCGCCACAAAAAAGTTAGAGACTATAACAAAATTTCACCACTTATGGTGGAGACATATTAACTATCTTAAATAAGATCTACCTACTTGATTGTCTTGCGGGTCAGAAAATGTGGGTGGGTGCCTTTTTTCTCAATCCGATCTCGCCATGAATGTTTTTTCAATAATTTCACATCTGGGTTTTCCTGCTGTGGTATTGAGAGATAATTATATTTACTGACATCTTCATCCAGACTTTCTTCATCGGGTGGGCTTCCAAAGCACCATGCACAGAATATGGCAGCGAATATCAAGGAAACGATTGATGCAAGGGATACCACAACAATACCAATAATTAGGGCACTCTCACTCATATCTGAAAATACAAATGGGAAAATATGTAAGCACAAAAGTCATTAAAGGAAACAAAAATGTATTAAAAAAAACAGTCCCAAATGACCCCATCCTAGCATCTTTTCATTTTCAGTTAATAGGCATTTCTAGACTTGCATCAAAGTATCTCCATCTACTCCATCAATGGTGTACAGGGATGGGGGATCACAAAGGCTTGAACACTGAGGTGTTTCATTTAGGCCCTTTTTATATGTATAGCATAATCCTGTTGCTGGAACAAAGCAAATATGTATACTGACACATAAATATGATGTTTTAACTGACATAATCATAATTTCTTATAGTAGAATTACAAGCTCTGCAAATAATATAGCCTGCCATCTATAAATGAAGGAAATATTTAAAAACATATTTTAGTATAATATATTTTAGTTATCACATCAAATATATATTCACATATGACCAGGGCTTTAACGATTGGGTATTGCAAATGCACAATTCTCAGAAATGCAAATTGTTTGAATACCTGTGACACTTTCGCAAGATGATATTCTACGTGGAATATCACTTGTGAATGATGCACAGGTACTCACCACAAAATAATAATTAAATATTTGTTTTATAATTCACTGTTATATTCCTCACTCACATTAATGGAATAACAAACAATTGATGTCTAATTAATCATAACAGTGTACTCCTGGGATATATACAATTGAAATTACACTGAACGAAGTTGCGACTGTTGATACCATTTGATATTCAACGAAAGTCATGGGACTTCCGTTGAATATCAATTGTTATTTTTTAGTCACATGTAGGACATGGACCAATCAGAGAGTGAGGAATATGACATTGATATAATAATAACTGGTATTCACACAAAATACAGGATGCCAAAAAAGTAAATTTACGAGACGACTTCCCAAGGGTTCTTCCTTCCCCAAGGTCCCTCCCTAATATTATGCATGTAATTTCAAAGACCATACATAATCTATACACAGATAGCAAGCAGCGGCAAGAAGAGAAGCTAGTCATTCAGATTATAGTCTAAATGTGCAGGCTAGAATTAAAGCTAAACTGAGTGACATTAGAGCTATAAGTTGAGCATACTAATTGAATTAATAAAGTCATTAGTGCCAGATTATATAGGAGATCATAGTAGATATCTGACGATAATGTCAAATGAGAAGTGAAATGTGTCAGTGAAATCTGCTATTAAGAAATATGAGGCAATCACGATTTACAAGCACTGAACTGTCAAACTGAATATGAGGGTATGTACCATTATACCCAGGGCCATGAGAATGCGTTGATTAGATATTCTAAAATCATGTCATTTACAATTTTACATTCACAAAATGAGTGAAAAATGTTTAAATTCTCCCAAATAATAATGGTAACCATTCTTATTGAAAAATAATACATTATTGTAAAAATCTTTAGTTTTCCTGGAATAAAGTATGCACTTTTGTGATTTTTAGAAAATAGGCATGACAAGGAATGACATGAGCCAAATATATTCTAAAATTGAAACAATTTTTTGTTAAGCCTTCTCGCTATATCTGATTCTCTCTTTAACATGTTTAAGCACTCCTTTTAGGATGATAATGTCAAATGAGAAGTGAAATGTGTCAGTGAAATCTGCTATTAAGAAATATGAGGCAATCACGATTTACAAGCACTGAACTGTCAAACTGAATATGAGGGTATGTACCATTATACCCAGGGCCATGAGAATGCGTTGATTAGATATTCTAAAATCATGTCATTTACAATTTTACATTCACAAAATGAGTGAAAAATGTTTAAATTCTCCCAAATAATAATGGTAACCATTCTTATTGAAAAATAATACATTATTGTAAAAATCTTTAGTTTTCCTGGAATAAAGTATGCACTTTTGTGATTTTTAGAAAATAGGCATGACAAGGAATGACATGAGCCAAATATATTCTAAAATTGAAACAATTTTTTGTTAAGCCTTCTCGCTATATCTGATTCTCTCTTTAACATGTTTAAGCACTCCTTTTAGGATTCCAAAGACACAGAGGGTGTAATAGAATTTATCTCCGCAATATTGCAGAATCTTAAATCGTGATCAATTCCTGCAGAATTCCGTGCAGATTTGACATATTTTCTGAATTTACGAACAATAAGCATTACCTCAGTAATTTTTCTGCAGTTGAATTTTGTAGAAATCTACCACAAATAGTCAAAAATGCAAATAAATAAAATTTCTCCTGTTGTTTTTTCTTGCAAGATGGCAGTATAAGTCAATGTCATGTATGTACCTATCCAAATATTTTACCCTCAATTCAGATTTGTTCATATCTGTCTCAATTTTCATAAATAAGATGAGAGGAATTTGTTTTATCCCCTTGGCTTTATAATTCACTAATTTCACTTGCAAAATTCATCAATTCAATTCATCAAAGTTGGGTGATTAGGCCATTTTTAACTTTTTATATCTAATTCCTGGGTCTCCCAATAAAAGTCATGGTAGTCAAAGATAGGCTCCCAGGGACGCAACTCAATATTTTCCAACAGTGAATTTTTTTTTATTTGGAAATAAGACCGATCTTGCACTTCAAATTGAAGTGAACAAAATGGTGGCTGTTTGAATTTTGTAATCACGACATCTCCATATATGGCAGAATATTGAGTTGGAACCCTGGGAGCCAATCCTCTTTGTACGGTAGTGGTTTTATTAGGATTTCCATATTCAGTAAAACCTGCCTTGGTGAACACATCTCTCTAGTGAACATCGGTCTCTAGAAGACACCCTTCCTCCACACATACTCTACTGACTTCTATACAAACCAGAACAACGGCAACGCCAAAGCGTAGCGAATCCCATCGAACATTTTTCAAAAGGGGCACCTTCTACCAAAAGTGTCATTAGACAGTGTGCCATGCTTATAATATTCACATACCAAATATGAACAAAATCTCTCTGCTACTTTTCGAGTTATAGTAAAATACGTTGAAATGGTGGCCATTTTGAAAAATGGCCGCCTTCTACCAAAAGTGTCATTAGACAGTGTGCCATGCTTATACGTATTCACGTACCAAATATGAACAAAATCGCTCCACTACTTTTCGAGTTATAGTAAAATAAGTTAAAATGGCAGCCATTTTTCAAAATGTCCGCCATTTTTCAAAATGGCCGCCTTCTACCAAAAGTGTCATTAGACAGTGTGCCATGCTTATAGTATTCACATACCAAATATGAGTTTCGAGTTTTAGTAAAATAACTTAAAATGGCGGCCATTTTTCAAAATGTCCACCATTTTTCAAAATGGCCACCTTCTACCAAAAGTGTCATTAGACAGTGTGCCATGCTTATAGTATTCACATACCAAATATGAACAAAATCGCTCCACTACTTTTCGAGTTACAGCAAAAATCGTAAAATATCGAGAAAAGGGCGCCATTTTTCAAGATGGCTGCCATGTGCTTTTTTAATATCTACATTTCTAGCTTTATTAATGTCCTATATAATTTTTTTTACATTTAAAACATATTGCTATTACAGTTTTACATATTGCACCTAAA